GAGTAGAGGTTTTTGAAATAAGTATTGATGGTCTTCTGTATTTTCACAGAGTCTGTAGTGATTTCAGCTTTTTCATTCCTTATTACATGAATTTGAGTTTTTTCTTTCCTTTTTAAAATAAGGTTGGCTAGTGGCTTATTAATTTTATTTATTCCCTCAAATAACCAACTCTTTGATTCTTTGATTCTTTGGATTGTTTTCTTAGTCTGTATTGAATTACTTTTGCTCTGATTTTTATAATTTCCTCTCTTCTTTTGCCTTTGGGCTTGACTTACTCTTCTTTTTCTAGATGTTTGAGGTGTAGCATCAGATTGTTTATATGTACTTGTTCTGTTTTCCTGATGTGAGAACTCAGGGCAATAAATTTTGCTTTGAGGACTTCTTTCATTGTATCCCACAGATTCCGGTAATTTATATTTGTATTTTCGTTTGCTTGTAGATATTAGTTCATTTCTTCTTTAATTTCCCCTGTGACCTACTGATTGCTCAAGAGTGTATTATTCAATTTCCATGTGTTTGTGGGTGTTTGCAGTTTCTTTCATCATGAATTTCTGGTTTCATGACACTGTGATCTGATAACATACATGGGATAAGTTCAGTTCTTTTGCATTTACTTTATGTTCTGTGGGCTAATATAAGGTCCATTTTAGAGAATGTGCCATGTACTTCCGAGAAGAATGCATATTCTGATGTTGTTGGGTAGTACCCTCTGTATATATCTATCAAGTCTATTTGTTTGTCATTCAGTTCTGTTATTTCTTTGCTGATTTTCTGTCTGATTGATCAATTGTGTCATTGACCTTTGTGTCAATGGTGTGTTAAGGTCTCCTGTTATAATTGTGTTATTGCCTATTTAATTTTTCATTTCTGTTAATACTTTGTATAGCTGGGAGCTCTGGAATGTAGTGCATATATATTTAAGATTGTTACTTCTTCCTTTTGAAGTTTTCCCGTAACTAGTATGTAGTGGCCTTCTTTATTTCTTCAGATCATTCTTGGTTTGAAGTTCACATTATCTGTAAACAGAATAGCTACCCCCACTTTTTGGGGTTCCTGTTGCATGAAGTATTGTTTTACATCCTTTGGCTTTCAGTCTATGAGAATTCTTTTGGGTTAGATAGGTTTCTTGTGGACAGAATATGATTGGATGTTGTTTCTTGATCCATTCTTCCAGTCTGTTTCTTTTAATTGGTTAATTGAGACCATTTACATTAATGGTTATAACTGTTATATATTGGTTTATTGTTGACATGTTATCTTTCTGCTCTTGCATCTTTACCTTTCCATTCTGTTTAATCATCTGCCTTGCTTAGTGTGTTTTGCTATGTGTATCTAGAATCTCTTTCAGTATTCTTTGCAGATTGGTTTGGTGATCATGAAGTTCTTAAGCTGTTTTTTGTCATGGAAGTAGCTTATTTCTCCATCCATTTTGAAGGACAGTTTTTCAGGTCACGTCAGTCTAGGTTGGAAGTTGTTTTCCTTTAGGATCTGAAATACTTCCCTCCATGCTCTTCTTGACTTCATTTTGTTGAGAAGTCTGTTGTGATTCTGATAGGTTTTCCTTTATAGGTGTTCTGTTTTCTAACAACTTTCAATATTCTATTTTTATGTTGGATTTCTGTATGTTGATTATTATATGTCTGGGTATAGTTTTATTTTGGTTATGGCTATTTGGAGTTCTATATGCTTCACTAATCTGATTGTCAGTTTCCATTCTCACGTTTAGGAAATTTTGAGCTATTACTTCCCCTTCTTTACATTATCTTTCAGCTGTTTAATTGTTTTTTCCTGATTTCTTGTTATTTTTAAACGATCTTTCCTTTCCTGTTCACTAGTTTCAATCTTTTGTTCCAGGTCTGAGATTCTATCGTCACTTTTGTTGATGTAGTTTTGACAACTTCCAGTGGAATTTTTGATTTCTTGTGTATCTCTTTGAATCTGCTTCATGTATTTTGTTTGTTTCTTATATTGTTCATCCAGAGATTCTATTTTTTTGCATTTTTCCTCTAATTTTTAAACTGTGTTTTCTTTAGATGTGTTTAGCATTTCTTTCATTACTTTTATCATTTCTTCTTTTACCTGGGAGATTATTTCTAATTTGAATTTCTTTATAACTTCCCATAGTTGCTTCTTAACTTCAGTTACTATTATTTCAGGTATTTCATTGTATGACTTGTATTTTCTTCTATGTATATGGTTCCTAGGCTTTCTTGGGATGTACTGGAGGTTTGAGATTGCATTTTTGATCTTTGGTCTTGTCATTTTCCTATATTTCCGTATATCAAGTGAGGTTCCAAAGCTTCCCCTGGGTGTTTTGGAAATTGCCTCCTATGTCCTCGGCTCCTGGGACTGAATGGAGGGTGCTGAGCGTGGTTCATTCTGGCCCACAGGACCTCTTCTGCCACCTCTGGTGTTCCAGGAAACTGGGCGGGCTCCTAACCACTGTGGGTGAAGGTCCAAAACTCTCCCAGGTCTAGCGTGGTGGCACTGGAATTCACCTTACATGCCTTCATCCTCCCTGATTGAAGAAGGTCACTGGGCGTGGTCTAGTGCAGCTGGAGAAAACTCCAGAGCCTAGTCCAGTGTGTCTGGAAGCTGGGTAGACACTTAACCACAGGGAGCAATGGTCTCAAACTCTCCCCAGGCTTGCCCTAGTGCACTGGAACTCACCTCTCGTGGCATCAGCGCCGTGAGTTGAGAGAAGGTCACTGGGCCTGGCCCAGTTAGGCCCAGGAAACCTGCTGAGCCTAGTCAAGTGTGGCTGGAAGCTTGCCGTGCTCTTAACCACTGGGAATGATGATTTCAACTCTTCTTGGGTCCATGCCAGTGTGCTGGAACTCACCTCGCTCTTTCTCAGCTCCCTGGATTCATTGTGATGCTTGACATTGTCCAATGATCCTTTGCAGCCCACAGTAAGCAGAAGTCACAGAAACTTGAGGTGAGCTCAGCTCCAGGCTCTCTAATACTGATTTCATAAAATTAGTTGGAGAGTATCACCTTATTTTCTTTTGTAAAATTCTTATTTATTCTTCTTTAAACTTAATATATTGAACTTTCATAGTAGTTAAAGGGCTGTTCAAATTATATATTTCATGTTGAGTTTTAGTGATGTAAATACTTAGTGCTACAAATTTTCATTTCAGTACTATTTTAGCTGCATCTCACAGTTTTTTCTTTTTCTGTTTTATTTTTTTCAAATCAATTTTATTTCAAAGAAAGAAGAAAAGGCTAAAACAAAATTTCAAAACACATCATCAGAGGGCAAAATGGTACATACACTGCACATTGTCATCCCCATATCATTCACCCAGAGCATAATATATCTGTTTACAATTGTCCAAACGATACCAGTGCAAATCTTTGTCTTCGTTGAACTAAGAGATATCAATATACAACTGTCTTAACTATTTTTATATACACATTTACATATGTTGTTGCTTTCAGCTTCTCACACTAGTGACATCTCACATATTTTGGTGTTTTATTTCCAGTTCAATTTATTTTATAACTAATCTTGAGAGTGGCCTGTGATCTCTTAGCAGTATATTTAACTTTCAAATAGCTGTATATTTTTATGGGTCTTATTGTTGTTACTAATTTCTAGTTTGACTCCATTATGTTTAGAAAACGTATAATTTCAGTTGGTTTCATTCATATGAAATTTGTTTCATGGAGCAAGATATGTTCAATCTGGTTATATAATAATCTTTAAGCACTAAAAAGGAATATAAGTCATGTTGTTAGGTGAAGATTGAAGGTACTGTTGAATTCTTGTATATGTTTGATGATTTTTTTATGTCTAGTTCACTTAATTTTGAAGAATGAAATAGGAAAGTCATTAGCAATCAGAGTGAATTTGTATACTTTGCTTTTCAGTTGTATCAAGTTTTGCTCCATAATTTTAAAGCTCTTTATTGGTACATCTAAGTCTTTGGTGGCTTACTATTATTTGTATTCATGAAAATTTTCCTTGCTGATATCTACTTTCTCTCATTAATATCGCATGTATGCTTGCATTTAATTAATGTTTCCATGGACTATCTCTTCTATTCTTTTACTTTCACCCTACTTAATATATTTGTAGTAAGTTACTTCTACAAAGCCTAAATTTGGGTCAGTTTTTAAAATCTACTCTGGTGATCTATCTGTAACTGATGTATATAGACCGCTTACCTTTAGTGCAATTATTTGAGTGTGTTTTCTATTCATTCTTTTTATTTTTCTGTTTTCTCTGCCTTCCTGTGGGCTACTTGAATCTTTTTTTAAGAATTCCATTTTGAGTTAATTATATTAGCTATGAGTATAATCTCTGTGCATTTTTTGGTAGCTTTTCAGCTTACTCTGACACCATCCTAGTAAAAAAAACAGGAGGAGGATGATTGAAGTCTGTCATTACAGCCTATTATGAGTAGAAATCTACAATTTTCATTGTTCCTTTGCAGGTGTGGTCAGTATAAAGCTAAAAAATGTTATTGTGCTGTTTAGCTGGGGTTTCTGTCTTGCTAGTTTGCTTCTTTACTGGCCATGTGACTAAAAAGAATATTTTTACTTGAAGTGCTTTATATCAATGCCCATTGTTTCAGAATGGCCAGCATCTTCAGTAGCTCACCACTATGTTATTTCTCAGGTCCCAGTTTCACTAGCCATTCAGCTTTCTTCTCTCCACATTTTTTTTTGTTGTTTTTTGTTTTTTGTTTTTGTTTTTTGGTCTTCATATGATTGTGGTGTGTGTATATCTCTCTCTGTGTTTATGTAAGTTTTTTTTTAGTAGAAAAATAAAGCAGGAATTTGTTTTTTTGTTTGTTTGTTTGTTTTGTTTTGTTTTGTTTTGTTTTTTGTCTTTTTTCCTTTTTATTGGTACCGGGGATCGAAGGAATTTGTTTTGTATGACTGTTGTCAGTGAGCAGTTTTGTATGATTGACAGAAGGGGACAAATTTTGTTGTCTAATATTTTTGTTAGGTCTCTACTACATCAGTGTTTTTTTTTTTTTTCATTCTAGTTCTAAGAACAGATGGAATTTGCTATGGATAAGTCATATGATTTCAACGAACGGAGCTCGTGTAATGGAATTCCATCTGAGAAGAAAAGCAGCTTCCTTGTATCAGAAGACCATGGACAAAAAATCCTAAGTGTATTGCAGAATTTCAGAGAACAAAATGTCTTTTATGATTTCAAAATAATCATAAAAGATGAAATAATCCCTTGTCATCGTTGTGTGTTAGCAGCATGTAGTGACTTTTTCAGGTATTTTACCTTGTATATGCCTCAGATTTTATGATATATGGGTAATTGACATATTTTATATAACTGCATTCAATTTTTCCTCCACAGGTACATGTGACAGTAATTTTTAATTCTTAAAGAAAAACTGAATTAACTAGTGATTTTTGAGAACTGAAGACTACTTTTTTGAAAGTGTGGGTCTTCCCAAGCCAGCATTTCCCAAAGTTATGTGGAACCTTAGCCCCATGAAATGTTCTGAGAGGCAGAAAACTTCATTTCCTCCGGGGTCAGGTTTGGGACGTCCCTATAGCACACCATATTACACAATAAATGGGAAGTTAAACAACTGAAAGACTAAAATTCAGAGAAAATGAGTCTGAAAGAGAAATAAACAAGTTCTGTATTGGACTCATGTATTATCCAAAAGTAGGGACTCTTTTCAGTCAGAAGACTTAAAATTTTTTCCTCTCTTTGGCAAATATTGCTGTAATAAGGAAAACTATCTCTTAGCTAAGGATGATTTCTCTAACATACCCAAATTGTTCTGATTATAAGCAGCCTTCTAAATATTTGTTTACTCATGTAGTAACCCAACAGGAAATGTCCCAGTCATGATACTATAAGAATCCCCTGTGATGATAACAGGTTCTGATTCTGCAGAATTAAGGGTTAACACATTACCTGAGCACTCTGGTAATGGTTTCAAAGTAATAATGTCCTGTGGGGCCTCTGGGTCAACAGAAAGGTAAGTCTGTTACAGTGATACCCTGGTCTTCAGCCCTTCCAGGGAAAGTACAATAAACTTCACTTTTTTTTTTTTTTTTTTTTTTTTTTGTCTTTTTCATTTTTATCGGTACCGGGGATTGAACTCACGACCGCCTGCTTGCAAGGCAGGTGCTTATGCCACTGAGCTAAATCCCCAGCCCCTAAACTTCACTTTTAATTTGGAGGCCAATATATAGGGTTTAAATCTCCATAAACCAATTTAGTAAAAACATGTGACAATATTATAAACAATGTAATTTATACCATTTTAATCCTTATTTCAACTCCTATTTTTCAATGACTGTCTAATTAGATCTTACTCACATTCTTTAGAGTATATCCTGTAAGCTGACTTTGTGTAGCAAACATTTTTTGATTTATGACATCTATCTCTGAAGAGCTTTTTGCTTTGACAGTGGGACCAGTGACATAGCTGCCCAGTTTACTGAGGACAGGGAGGCTACAATAGTTTGGAAATAGCTGTTTGCCTGACTAGGCTATAAGTGTTCATCTGTGCTTTGCATTTCTTCTCTCAGGCGATCTCAGTTATTCCTTGAATTCTAATATGGCCCTGAATGTTGCTATACTGTAGTGTGTTACTCTTAGTGACAGGGTCTTCCTTCCACTCATTTAATTCAGCTTTTTTTTTTTTTTTTTGTTAACGTTATGCTGCTCCCTGTGATACTGCCTTTCAGGGACAGGAAACTCTATGAGGGTTAAGTCCTTAGTCTCTTAATAGATATTCCATAAACCTAAATCCCAGATCTGCCACTTGTTGAACATATGCACTTCAGTAAATTACTTAACCTCTTTAGGCCTAAGTTCCTCATTTGTAAAAAGCTAGGGTAATAAAAATATTACCTAACTGATAGGATTGAATATAAATTATGATAAGCACAGTGCTCACTGGATTCAATTAATGTTAGCCAAGATGGCTATTATTACTTCCAAACTAGAGAAAAGTGGAAATAATCTGGTATGAACATGTAGCTTGATTTCCTTATAATGTTTTCATGCCAATAAACTATGTAAGCATTTGAATTTTTAGTCCTCTACCTCATATAATTAGCATCACAGATTAATATTTCTAAGTTGATAAACATCATTGGGAACTTGTACATAACGTGTGACATGCATGTATTTATCACTGTTTTTATTTGACTTTATATTACAAATATTAAATAACCTCATAGTAAGGCATTTTATCATCCTTCCTTTTCCTAGAGGTGTTCCTTATTTGGAAGATCCCTCTTATTTTTTAGTTGGCTGTTCTGTTACTTTAGTAGTTCTTCTTGCCCTCTGGAGCAGATTCAAGTAAATATGTTGGCTTTTCCCTGTAGTAGTTGAACACCTAAGGACACCACTGTCAAAGGTATTTTGAACAATACCAAATCATTATTAAACCAGAACAAGTGGTAAAATATATTTTATGCACTGCCCACATGTCTCCAAATTATCTATTTTATTTTTACCTGCAATAAGCCAAAGCAGTTCACAAATTCTTAGATTCTATCAACTTTACCACAAATACCATGAAGAAAAATAGACTTTAACAATGAAGAACTTTCATGCATCTCTGATTATTCAAATTCAGCACTCATCTCCATATTTTAGGGGCTGTTAACACAAAGACTTGTTTGGTATACTGGTATTGCACCAAATTCTTCATACTTCATGGTATAAAATCACATTCCCTTTTCCCTAAAATGATGTATAAATTTTTTTCAGATGTATCTTATTTAGTGACTTTCTGCATTCAAATTCACTAACACTTCACAAGGCCATATGGTATTACTGCCAAACTGGAAGTTACTTTGAAAAAATTTAAAATCCTAATTGCTAAAGAATTATGTTATAAGTAAGTTTATTTATTATGAATACAGTTGATACTGATTAACCCATAGATAGATGCTGTGATTTGAAAAAATGTGCCAATTTAATAATATGTAAGAACAAATCAGTCTATAAAATTTTAAATTTTTATAGTTATTTTTGGGTTAGTTGCTGTTTCTGCTATATTGTATATATTCTTAATATGGGAGTTATATAATACATGTTTATGGGCAGATAAATAATGTCACATAGTTATTTCATACATTAAAATTTCTTAGGATGTTATTAAAATATGATTTTATAAGTATATTTTAAAATCTACTTTAGAGCAAAGGAAATCAATATAAAGGTAATATTATATGTAATTGTGGAATAAAATATTCCTGTTTATTTCTTCTTTTGTGTTCTTTACTTTTTCAGGGCTATGTTTGAAGTAAACATGAAAGAAAGAGATGATGGAAGTGTTACCATTACTAATTTGTCCTCCAAAGCAGTAAAAGCTTTTCTTGATTATGCCTATACTGGAAAAACAAAAATAACAGATGATAATGTGGAAATGTTCTTCCAGTTGTCATCATTTCTTCAAGTTTCCTTCCTATCCAAAGCTTGCAGTGACTTTTTAATAAAAAGCATTAATCTTGTCAATTGTTTACATTTATTATCTATTTCAGATAGCTATGGCTGTACTCGATTGTTTGATCATGCATTGTACTTTGTACAGCATCACTTTTCTTTATTATTTAAATCGAGTGATTTCTTAGAGATAAGTTTTGGAGTATTACAAAAGTGTCTGGAGTCAGATAAATTAAATGTTCCTGAAGAAGAAACAGTACTGAAGGTTGTCCTTAGTTGGACTAAACATAACTTAGAGTCAAGGCAAAAGTATTTGCCGCATCTGCTTACAAAAGTAAGATTACATCAGATATCTGAAGATACACTTCAAGACTGTCTGCTGAATGAAGAGTGTTTACTGAAAAGCACAAATTGTTTTGACATAATTGTGGATGCAATTAAGTGTGTACAAGGTTCTAGTGGACTTTTTCCAGATGCTCGACCATCCACAACTGAAAAATACATATTCATTCATAAAACTGAGGAAAATGGAGAAAATCAGTATACGTTTTGCTATAACATTAAAACAGATTCATGGAAAATACTACCACAATCACACCTGATTGATTTGCCAGGGTCTAGTCTGTCTTCTTATGGAGAAAAAATATTCCTGACAGGTGGTTGCAAAGGAAAGTGTTGTAGAAAGGTTCGACTTCATATTGCTGAGACTTATCATGATGCCACTGATCAAACTTGGTGCTATTGTCCAGTCAAAAATGATTTCTTTTTGGTATCAACTATGAAAACACCAAGAACCATGCATACATCAGTTATGGCTCTCAATAAGTTATTTGTTATAGGTGGAAAGACTAGAGGATCTCAGGACATTAAAAGTCTCTTAGATGTTGAATCTTATGACCCTCTTTCCAAAGAGTGGGTATCTGTTAGCCCTTTACCTAGGGGCATATATTATCCAGAAGCAAGTGCATGCCAAAGTGTAATTTATGTTCTTGGATCAGAAGTAGAGATTACAGATGCCTTTAACCCGTCGCTTGATTGCTTCTTTAAATATAATGCTATAACTGATCAGTGGTCTGAACTAGTTGCAGAGTTTGGGCAATTTTTTCATGCTACACTAATTAAAGCTGTCCCAGTAAACTGTACACTGTATATATGTGACCTTTCCACCTATAAAGTATATAGTTTTTGTCCAGATACTTGTGTTTGGAAGGGTGAAGGATCTTTTGAATGTGCAGGCTTTAATGCAGGTGCAATTGGAATTGAAGATAAGATTTATATCTTAGGTGGTGATTATGCACCTGATGAAATCACTGATGAAGTGCAGGTCTACCACAGTAGCAGATCAGAATGGGAAGAAGTTTCTCCAATGCCCAGAGCCTTAACTGAATTTTACTGCCAGGTTATTCAGTTCAATAAATATAGGGACCCATGGTTTTCTAATCATTTCTAATAGTATATGCTTGGAGATTCTAAAACTGTTCCAGTTCCTATAACCTGCAATAAATGTGTTTACTATAATCATTGATAAAAAGGTCTTTATATATTAGTAAAATAAAATATTCCTGCTGTTATAGAATTATTACCTATGTATGCTATATGAATAACAATTCCAAGAAGCTTAGGTATAAACCTAAAATTATCCTGAATATAATTAATCTTGGAAAATCCAGAATACTTAGTTTTCAATATGTTAAGTCCTTTATGAAAAACTAAAAAAAAAAAGAATGTTCACAGATTTAAACTATAATATACAGGGAAATCGCTGAGGCACTAAAAATTATACATGCTATAATATGTGACATGAAAGATAGAAGGGATTGATCTCATTTTTATACTAAAGTTGCAAGAATTATTGAATTCCCAACCTTACTGATCATTGGTCAACTTCTTTTAAATGCTGTACTATTATGTTATATTATTTTGGTCAGTAGTTTTTCAAAAATGAAGTATATTGCTCCACTTTTCTAAATGCACTAAACAAAGTAGCTTTTTCTATGTTTCAGCTCTTTATTAAGAGTATATTGTACAATGTTATGCCATCAGTAATTACTTAAATCTTTAAAAATTACTTATTTTGTTAGTTTTTAGTGTCACATGCTTTCAGTGTTCTGAGTGCCATATCTCCTTATATTTTGGTTCAGTTTTAGTAAATTGGCATTGCCCATGAACTTTGTAGCTTTAAATTACACCTTGCTGAGTTTATCTTAGCATATAGCCCATTGGATGATATTTTTGGATTTGAAGTTGGAATCTTAAAATATTTTTTCCCATATCAACGTGGGTTCCAATGAAATTGAGGATATAGACATTGTGATATCCACATGAGTGGTCATCATTGTTCCATTTCTTAAACTTGACCAAAATCTGAGGTACAGTAGAAATTTCCAGATTTAATTTATACCATGTCACTTTTCTTTCATAATATATACCAGCTATAAAGCATCGTGTGACTTCACTACTTCAGTAAGTTATCATAGTGAATTATAAATTTAAAGTATGATTAGTCTTTTGGTATTGGTAGTATTGTTCATAGTCTGCATCTACTAAGACATTTAGTCTTCACCTCTCATGATGAAGGATATGAACATCCTTGTTTTCACCTAGATCTGCCTCACAAAAGGGTATGTTGCTTTAAACAGTTAAAACAGTTTAAGAAGATGTAGGCATTTTAGGTTTTAAGATCCCTAATTTAGATCTCAGGTAATGTGTAGATTGTATTTTCTGGAACCAAATGATGTTGTTTACTGTACTCTGTAGTAAATGTTACTCTAGTAAATGTAAAATGGAAATACACTTAAATGAAGGTCCTTTTATTTTACCATATAAATTTTTGCAAACACAAGTTTAAATATATTTTTCAAAATTGAAAAGATACTAATTTTTTGCAGTTCCAAAATCAGGGACTATCTCTAATTAGATGACAGCTCTTTAAAGAATATAGAATTGGTGGCCTTCTCATGTAAGCACATGTTTAATGGACTGCTCTTTTCTCTGTGTATGTTTAAGAAAACAAATCATGTGGAGGTGTCTCTTTGTGTAAATGTGCCTTTCAGAACAAATTAAGAAAGATTTTTAACAGTGAGTTACCTTTATGTGGACTTACTGAACTGTTAATTAAGCATATATAAATAGGGTACGTTTAAAATAAATAGGTTAATCACTGACTAGCAGTTGTTCATTTCTTCCAGAAAGAAGAAACTAAAGCAAAATTGAATCCCTTACCGATACTGTTTCATTATCATATCATCTTGATTTCCACCAAGCATATCTTTGACCATTCATTTATGGTAATGTTTCTAAAAATATCCTTGCCAAGAACTAGGTGGCTCCCTCTGCATTTGATTTAATACCTTTTCTAATACTGTAAGTCCTCATTTATGAACAAGTTCCACTCCAGGAGAATATTCTTAAGTTGAATTCATTCATAAGTCCAACAGGAGTCTTACCTTTGATACAAATGTGAAATGTGTATTCTGTGCTTCCTAGTAGTTTCCTCCATATTACCGCTGCTTTTCCTCTTGTGTCCAGACATCCTGGGCTCTGATTGAGCATTCCGATGGAACACAGTTTTACTATATAGTAAGCATACAGTAGCACAACTATGACAGTGGCCGCCAGACACTTAACTACTTGTGAGATTCATTCATATCTGTGAATATTCATAATACAAGGTCTGTTAGTGTCTGTGAAAGTTTGCAAGTTACATGTTCATGTTCATAAGTCAGGGATTTACTGTTCAGATTTTCTACTGTAGTTGTTACAGTTGCTTTGAGTTACTTTTTAATTATTTTTATCTTAATCATTGCCATCGCTTTATATAGAATCCTTGTGTTGCTCTGTCTGTCCTCAGGAGGAAAATACTGTGATCCCTCTTCTCTTTTTTTTTTTAATTTTTTCTCTTGTCACAGTAGAAATCGGTACTAGGCTTGGTTCCACTAACTGAATTCTCTAATTTTATATTTCTTTGTAGAATTTTTATTGGAAAATAGTTCTATCTTCAGAATCCTCTAGAAACCAGACCACACAGGGTCAGTCCCTAGACTGGTTCCACACTGTAGCGTTTTCCATCATGGTGGCTTTGCTAAGTGAGAGCGATGTCAGCCTGGCCTTACTCCTCATTCTTCATTTCTACCATACAAATCTCAGCGATTCCTCATCTATTCTCATTCCTCCAGGAGGAGCTATTTTTTCTGTCTCTTAAGTTTAGGTAAAAGAAAATAGCATCCTTTTATGACTTCTTCCCTTTGACTTTTTTTAAAGTCTGTTTCCTTTTAGTTACATTCTCTAGCCCTTTAGTTACAGTGTAGGAAATAAGACAATTGTGCTCATTATCCAGATGGCTGTTGGTCATATATAAGTTTTCTGTTTACTATTTCTAGCTCCATTGTTGTCTTGCTGTACTACACTTGGATTATGCTTTCAAAAACGTTTGAATACTGTAATATCTTTTAACATTAAGGTAGATATATAGGATTATGAAATATAAACTTAACATATGAGATCAAAGTTAATAGCAATTCCTAGAGCAATCTTTAAACTTGGGTTAAAATGTGGTATACCTTTTGTTCATTTTATAGCCTTTGGGACTATGTAGTGTGACAGTTATTTGTATAATCAAAATTAACTAAATTCTCTTAGTATTTAATTTTGGTATAGGGAAAGAAAAAGGTCTTTAGTACAACAGTATGCATCACATGTTACCTGTGGCGGCTAGGTTACTTAAGAGCAGACTTATACTGCAATATGATTCCATTTTCCAGATACTAAGAAAAGCCATTGAATGTGTGTTCAGTGTTCTTAGTTTAAGGTATACCACTTGAAAATAAGCTTCTAGCACAGAGGGAATGCATCTATTTATTTTTTTATATTTGGAAGTAATAAATTTCATAGTATGATTAAATACGTATTTGAAAACATGCTACTCAAAGATCATTCTCAGTTTAATTGGAATGTAGTATTTTAGGAAATGTTCTCCATATTTAGAATTGAAGTGTAAGATTCCAAAATCTCTTCCAAGGGACAATGTGAGAACAATCAAAAACCATGGGCTAGAATTTATAGAACAGTATGCTGTTCAGTATGAGAAAGAATTTTGTTTCACTGTATAAAATCTTACTTTAGAATGACATGTGACAGATTATTAGCTGAGTAATTTCCTACACAGCAGTGCGTGACCAAAGATTGTTAAACAGGATTTACACATTTTGATCTTGTTTTCTTACATGTGACTAATTACTTCTTCCAACTTATTTAGCACTTCAGGCAGTCTAATTTCAGTGGTTCTCCATATTCAAGATTTTTCAATAAGACTCAAGTTTTAAAAGTGTATCATTTGAGGAATATTTTCATTGAAAGGAATTCTCTTCTTTTTCTTTTCTTTCTTTAATTGCTCAGGAAACATTTATAAATGGTGCTGACACTTACAGTAAGTTGCTAACTGGAGTTTTTCCTTGTATTTACCATAGGTGCATTTTTTATAGTGAATAAAGTCCAGTATATAAAATTTTCTCTGAATTATTATTCTTATTTCCCTAAAAATGTATATAACCAGAGATACTGGTTTGAGTTAAATATTATTTAATTTGAAAGACTTTTTACCTTAAAAATTTAAATGTGTATAAATATATTTGATGACTGATGCTTAATCAAATTTAACATCAAATTACAGAATTTAATCACAAGATGATGCTATTACACATTTATCAAAAGATGACTCTTCTAAATCATAGACATGTTCAAATTTGAAAATAACCTTGGAATCTAATGTAGCTTCCAACCTAATGTAGAAAATCCCTCTAAATTATGAGACATCCTGAACATGCAGTCTGTTGTCAGTTTTTCATTCAGTGTGTTCAGGAGTAGAATTACTGTCTTCATTTTTGAATACTTCTATTCAAAATTCTTCCTAATATTGAAAATAATTCTGCCTCATTGTAATGATTTCCGACTGTTGATCTTAGGTTGCTGTCTCATGCCAGTGATTCAGATGTTTCAAGCAGTACCACGACACTCAGTCCTCCAAAACATCATCTCATTTTTCTTCTTGTTTAGGGGATTAGCCACTTTAACATCTCCTACGATGGCTGGATTTAAGCTTTGTCCGTATGCATTTGGCTCAAGAGAAACTATTCTAGCACTGTCACTTAAGTGGATCAAGCCTGAACAGCATTGCAGAATCTGTTTCATATGTAGACATTGCCTCTGTGTCCACCACCAGTGTACTAATTAATTGAGAATCTCATTCACTCACCGAGTCCTCCAGCTCCTAGAAATCTCACAGGTTTCACTCTTGCTGTTTCTTTCTTCTCTCTGTCCCTCCCTCATCACATAATTGCAAGTACATTTTCTACAAGGTAAATTTTAAATCAAATTTTAATGTCTATCTTTTGTCATTGAATAAAGTTTTCAAAAATTAAAAAAAAACTTCTAAAAAAGACTCCAGAGAATAAACAATAAATAACTAAAGTAATTATACCCTTGGTGATTAAGAACAGGTCAACTTGCTAATTGACCAGACTGTGGTAATAACTGTCTAAATTTTAAAGTTTATCTTTGCTGTTAGTCCAGTTGGAAAGCATAATATTTTCATAATATGAGGTCATAATTAAAGAATTAAATAACTGGATTAGCCAAGCAGATTTTTTTCATTTCATTTAACTTTTACGACATCCCCAACCATAAAGACATAACAGGCTTGAAAAATTATCCTGTTGGTCCCAAAGGTAAGAAGAAAACTCCTCTGTTAATGAGTATTTAATTACATAAACATTTCTTTACATTTCTTTCTTCCTCATTTAACTGTAAGCTTTTAGGAATAGGCTCATAACTTAATCATAATGGCTGTCATATAATGAGGCATTCAATAGGCTGATATTGTATTGAACCAAAGTGGGAAGCAACACATTTATTATGGTTATATTGTTACTGAATGGATTTATCTGTACATTTTGTGACTTGTATACAAAAGTTGTTCATATTTATGTTAGAGTTTTACATTTTAGAATGTTACTACGTTGTACTTTAGTCATGTATATGTGTTCTTTTTATATTTGGTATTTTGATTATGTTCAGTGTATGAGACAATTGATTTAGGTAGTGTATACAACTTTAGGGGTTTTTTTCCTTGTGTATGGAAAAGATAATTAAAAGCATTTTTCAAAAGTGAAATTGCTTTACATAGTTCATTGCCAACTTCTGGAGAGTATATATAGTTGACTGTCTGGTTTTGTGTGTATATAGTTGGTTCTTGAAAATGAGACTATAGATTCAAAGTCACTTATCCACAAAAATTTTTAGTGCTTAAGGATTATTTGTTTTTCATGAATTTTAATTATAATAATTCCGTGTTTCCTTTCAAAGGCAATAATTCACAAAACAATGATTTCAAATTGAATTAGTGTATTTACAACCTTCATCTTTCTAATAAGTGCATAATATCTTCAGTGATATTTTTCCCACTTTTTTGGTGGAGGAGGGAATAATGTCCAAAGCATCTTACCTTATATATACGGGTAGCTTATTTCACTTCTCTATTACTGGAATGTAATCTTCTGCCATTTGCTATAAGAAATAAAATCAGCATTTCTGCAGGTCCGTATTAATCATATTAACATGTATTAAAGCATTTATTCCTATAAATAATTATATTAAAATGTATATAAGAAAAATAATGTCTGTGTTTATTACTGTCTGAAATAAAACAGGTAGAAGAACGTGAATGTCAGAGCTTTCTTTTTTTGTCTCTTTCCAGACATCTTAGGCATCCTATGGGGGCTCTGATGGATTCAGGACCACCAAGAGATGGGGGTAGCAGTTGATCGTTAGAAGAGGTTTCTTTTCCGTAGTTGAGATAGGTCCAGCCGTGTATACTTGAAGACAAGACAACCTTGTCTAAAATGAAGGAGTAACAGCTAGTCTTCAGGTGACTTACAGTATGGGACAAACCTCCAGGCCCTGGCTGAGTTAACAAAAAAAATAGACAAAATGCCCATAAGCTGCAGATGGCTGCAGCAGAAGCTAGCCAGGTGTACAGGGTCAGGAACTGTCCTCTTATCTCCCTGGCTCACAGACATCAAAACGCCGGTCAGCTTCCAACATGTAAACCTTTCTACCTCACATGCCAGATACTCATGGAAGAGAGCCAGCAAAGGGACCAAAGCCCGAAAGCCTTAAGTCGTAACAGGACAGGGCTTTTTAAATTTTTGTATTCGATGGGTTATATTCTAGTACTGTATTTATAGTTGTTCTTCGCTCTGGACAAGACTGTTTTCTATCGTGTTGTTTTAACATTGGGAGCTATTGCTTCCTAAATGACCTTGGCTGCCAAGTCCTTTTTCCAGATGATAGCCCAGCTGAAAACAGAGTTCCTCCTTGGAAACCCAACTCTTAAAACGTAAACTCTGTTCCTCTCTCCCAGGTGTTCATAAAGCCAGTTTCTTTAGCAAAACTGTAAAAATGTCTAAGGCTACTCTTCATTCTTTGATCTAAACTCCAGACTTGTTTTCATTATCTTTACTTTTTCATGTTTCTCTAGTTTTTTGAAATTGTTTGCCTTCAAATATTTCCTTTGTTTATAATCTCCCTAGACAGAATCCTTTAACAGAGTTTACTTAAATTTTAAGGCCATGGTGGGAAATTGACCTGCCACTAGGTTGCTGAGGTTACTTCCCTCAAATCAGAGGCGTCTCTCAGTCAACATTTTAATAGGGGCTCACGAGAGGGCAGCTTTCCTTTTCTGTCACTAGACAGATTGGTTAGCCATCAAAGTCTGATGCACTGGCTTTAAAGTTCTTTCCCTAAATTTGGAACCAGCCTGAATTATCCCCTTTCCTCTTATAGAAGAAAGGAAAGAAGCACTTCAGTGATATTTCAACCTCCACTCTTACAGAAGATAAGGCATAAAAAGCATTTAAAGTAGCATGTTGTCTTCTTTCCAGTCACTGAATTATATAAGATGGGATACAGGATTTTATATATTTACAATATAAGTTACAAAATTTTTAGTCAAAAACTAACAATATAACCACTGTATATATTTGATCTATATGTATATTTTCCAGAGAAAATAACTTAAAAAATAATACTCTTCATTGTTGATCTACAAAGTTTCAAAACACTAAGAATTCTGTAGTTTTTAAAATACCAACAAACATTGAAGATTGAGGCCCTTGTGGCCTCCTCTTACTTGGTCTACATAATGAACATTGATTATTTAAAACTGCTAACTTTATTATTAAATAACTTTTATAAAATCCATTTTCCCAGGGTAACATCACTTTGTGCTTACTAAATTTTGTGGTTTTAAAAACCTTTATAAAACTTAGTAAGCCTAACCTATGATATCTAAATTATAATAATATTCATTAAAATCTTAAACTATTGTGAACTCTCTAAAAATCTAATTTACACATAAATATTAAGCAAATCATCTTAGTGTTTATAGTGTTAATTTCAGCTGCAGTTGGTAAATATTTTTCTATTTCTTCCAGGTTCAGGGCTAAATGTTTAACCTGATTTTGCTCTGGTAATAATTAGAGAATTTTCAAAGGGAAATTAATTACTCTTCCTTAACCCTGACCAAAATGTGTGCTGTAAAATGAATTTAAAATTTTAATCAGGAAAAGCCCTCCCTGTGGGCTTTTCATATTTTAAAATCCAATTAGTTTTAATGTTTTTCCTTTTAGAGATTATCCACCCTTTTATATTATGAAGCATTAATTGGAATTCAAATTCTTTATTGCTCTTTCTCAAAGAACTTCTTAACAAATCAGTATACTTTTGTTTCTTACAAATAGTCTTCATGTCATGTCTATTCCACAATATCTTCCATTTAAATATGGTTCCCATTTCTCTTGTAAGTACAAACTAAAATGTACTCATTGCTAAAAATTTTCAAAGAAAAATATTCAATAGTTTAAAATAATGCATCTATTGTATACAGCATCCTTGATAAGTGAAATTTGGCAGAACTAACCAATGTTGTGTTAGTGAAAAGATAACACGAATGTATAGGTTTAGGCAGTTTTCTGCAAGCTTGCTTTACAAAATAAAATAATCATTTGAAAAATACCTGTTAAAAAAATCTGAGACCTCACTCTTTTTTTTTTTAAAGGATTAAGATAAAAGAGGACATAACAACACAGGTCAGAACAGAACAATTTAAGCAACATAGTGTTTCACCATAAGACAACCCGACATAACAGTAGCTACCACAGTGTCTCCTTGAAATCTTTGAGAATACCTTCATATACTATAGAATCAAACATAACAAGACAGTGTAAAACCATTCAAGAGAATGAAAGTATTATGGGGTATTCAGAACCAACTAACAAAATGAACAATGCTTACTATATTATCTCCTTGTCTATAAAAAATTTTGTTTATACCATCACATATAATAAAATCCAATAATATATAACATGATACTGATGGAGACAGAAGAACAAAAGCTTGGTGGAACTTCAAAACAAGATGATATTAAATCAGCACTAGCTCTTGTGGTGTCTTGTTTTCTTCAAAATAGCTGTTCATACCATCACAGACAATATAATCAAACAACCCAGAATAAAACCATTTCAACTAATGAATGAAATCATATAAGGCTTCAAAGCAATATAATGGGGAGTCAAGATTACCACATACTTTTATGTATTCTTACCACTTCTTACACTAGGGAAACTATTCGGTAATTATACATGTGAGTTTGATTTATTTTGCTTAAGAGTATTGTCTCAAGCTGCATCCATTTATTTATAAATAATGTGCTCATTCTTAATAGCTGAATAGTACTCCACTGTATAAAAATACCACATCTTTTTTATCCATTACTCAGTTGGTGGACACTTAGGTTGTTTCCGAGATCTGGCTATTACAAATTGTGCTGCTGTAAACATAGGTACATATATATCACTGTGGTATGATGTTTTCAGTTCTTCTGGGAATATGCCTAGAAGTGGAATAGTTGCAACAAATGGGACTTCCAATCCCAGCTTTTTGAGAAATCTCCAGACTGACCTCAACAATGGTTGCACCAGTTTACACTCCCAACAACAATGCAGGAGAGTTCTTTATCCTCACAGCCTCTCCAGCATTTATTGTTGGTAGTTTTCTTGATCCTGCAAATTCTTTTTTTTTTTTTAATTTAAGGAGAAAAAGAAAAAAATAGAAAAAGGATACAAGTTATACAGAATTTCAGAAAACAAGCAGTAGGAAATCACTAGTTAATAGATTACATATTGTTATCTTAGAAATAGTTGTTCAAGTTACAAAATTAAATCATATAAAATGGACTTTCAAACAGTGAGACTGGAAACAGTTTTGTTCAATGATCCAACAAAACTTAGTAATATGGTTATCTATCTTATACACTTAAATATATATGCAGTTATATTCTTTGGAGCACTTTCTTTTCCTTTCTTTTGTACAATGACAATTACATATTTTGGGTTTTGTTACTCCCACAGTTCTTATTACTTTTTTTTGGAAGAGAGTAAAACCAAATGTGACATAACAGAACAGTCAGTCAAATCAAAAGGATGGACATAATAGATAACGTAAAAACAAAATACTAGGTGATCAACAATGGTTACCATACTGCCTCTTGCTATCTTAAAAAGAATTGCCTATATTGGCAGTTATAATAAAATTGAACAAAACAGTAAAGAATAAAACCAAAACATTGGAGACATTACAGGACTTTAAAAGAAGATAATAGTCAACCGGAATGGGCATCATAATGAATCTTATTGTCTTCACAGTTGTTGCCTATACTTTCAAACCTGGTACTATCAAGCAAAGCAGAATAGAGGAAAATCAGTCACAGCAAGATGGTGAGGGCTATACAGGGTGCCAAATCAAGTTAATAGGAAATCAAAGTGGGTTACTATAATGTATCCTGCTTTTTTTATTTTTCCCTTAATTAAAAAGATAAAAAAGATTGAGATGAAGGAGGGCATAACAACAAAACAGTGCAGGTCAAAACATAACCATTTAAGCAAAATAGTGTTTCACTACAAGATATCCTGACATAAAAGTAGTTACCATAATGTCTCTTTCCTTGAAATCTTTGAGTATAACTTCATATACTGTAGCACCAAATATATCAAGACAATGTAAAACCATTCAAGAGAATGATAGTATTACAGGGTATTTAGAACCAACTATCAGAAAATGAACAATGGTTTCTGTATAATCTCCTTGTCTATAAAAGTTTTTGCTTATATTATCATATACAATAAAATCCAATAAGATACAACCTGTTAAGACTGATGGAGACAGAAGAATAAAAGCTTGATGGGACTTCAAAGCAAGATGATACTAAATCAGCACTAGCTATTATGATGTCTTGTTTTCTCCAAAATAGCTGTTCCTACTATCCAATCTTCTCTGCCTCATTTCTGTTGAGCTCTTTTTCTGTCGTTTGTTGTCAGTTTGTCTTCTTCATTTCGCTTTCTGCTCCATACCTTGTGGCCTCTCTGCCACTGTTTCTGAAGTCTTGGTATTTTCCTTTTTTTAGAATGTCCTGCAGTATTCTCTGTAGAGTTGAATTGGTGGTTGCAAATTCCCCTAGTTCCTCTTTATCCTGGAAGCACCTTGTTTTTCCATCAATTTCTAGGGACAGTTGTGCAGGATATATCAATCTTGGCTAGAGGTTGTTATCTTTCAAAGCTTGAATTATTTCCCCCCATGCTCTTCATGATTTGATGGTTTGTGCTGAGAA